AAACAAACAGTAGCAGTTAGGTTCATGTAGTGGAAAATGTAGCCCTTTGGGAAGCCATCCCTGACTCCTCGCCATCACAGGGACACCCAGGACCTTGTGCCCCTCCTGTGCCCCAGAGTAGCCTATGCCCACCTTTATCAGTGAAGCACTTCCACACCATATTGTAGTTTGCGTTGTTTTGATTCAGCTACCACTGTACTCCTTCAGGTGGTGAGTAATGGGATTCACACTGTGCCTTCAGATCCTAGCACAGGGCCTGGCTCCAGTGGAGTATTTGATACGTCTACATTGAATGAATGAATACAGGCTTAACCAATCCAAGCAGAAATGTGTCAGGTCTTTTGGATGACTTCATCGCAATTCCTCAGGCAAAATATGTAAAGAAAATGAAAAGAAAAGAATCTAAATGGGAAGGAGATTGTGTGTATGTGCATGTACTCTTAATGAAGATGCAGAAGGCAGAAGCCAGGGCTATAGAAGGGCTGGAATCTTATACCTTTCAACCATTTTATTTCCTCCATGCAAATTAGTCTATTGTCCCTGCCAGGAGTTGCAAGAAATGCAGTGAGTTTTGCAGCTCGATTTTATCTTTTGATTGAGGTCTCTGTAACAAGCTTGCCTATGACACTTCTGCCTTTTTTTGGTTTTGAACTACTACAGTGTGAAATGGGAAGGAAGAACAGATGTCCCAGCAGGGAGAGGAACACAAGTGAATTGACTGGAAAACGAGGGGTGGGAGGGGAAATGTGTGTAAATTGCATACAGTCTGTTGTGTTGCAGCTCATGTTTCTATAGCATCAACCATCTCAAACTCACCTGGCAGATAGAGAATGATGTCACTATAATATCTATGTTGGGTCGTTTCCTATGCCATTTTTCCTAGGTAAGGGGAACCACAACAGTGGGAGTAGGGATTATGATCTCTGGTAGGAAAAGAAAAGCCCTCAGCTCAGTTACTGAATAATCAGAAGCCCTTGCAATTCAACTTTAATAAAATTTAAAATGAGTACCTAAACTCGGGGGCTGCCTCCACAGAAAGGTATATCCCCAGGGGCTTACCAGTGCTCACAAGAGGTTTTACTTTCTCCTAGGCTCAGACCTCCACCTTCATCCTCCTTGCCTCAGTACCCTGAAATCCAGCATTTTAACCGCATTGTTTTGCACATTTAAAAAATATTCTCTGGAGCCATGTCCAGTCTCTGTACAGAGTTGCATAGGCTTTGAGTGGTCTGCCAGAATCCTATCTTTCCCTTAATCCCTGTTATTTTTAGTGTGTAATTTTGTTAAGGCAATATGTTGTTTTCAGCAACACATTTGTTATTTTATAGGAGAAATGTCTGTCTGCTTTATTTCAGATGTATTAGTATACTGTTTAGGTAGCAGGACTTTTTGAAAATTACAGTATAACAGTGCTTTCAGACCATTTACATGCCTCCGTGAATTTTAGATTTTTAAAAGACATTAACATTGGACGTAAAAATATGATGTCCGATCAAGGTGTTTCAAATAAATGGGTGCAATGTTGTTCAACATAAATATTCATCTTCAACACGTTTTTCTTTCAGCTTCCCACCCTAAGCGTTGCATAAACTACATCACGAAGTTGTACTCAGATGCAAAAACAAAGAGGAAGGAAAATGCACAACATTCAGAATCAGAAGAAAAGCAGACTCATATACCAGAGAGTATTGTGTA